GCCAGATGGATCTAACAAGGAATAAAAAAGGTGCAAACATGGGGATGAGGGGGAGCTAAGCTAACAGTTTTTGGATATAAAGCTGAGTTCAAATCCCACAGGGTCCACTTTTGAGCCAATGATAATATTTCTGGGTCTAAGTCTCCTCAACTATAAACCAGGGAAATGATCGCTGCACACAAACAAATGGGATAAACTGATGGTGGCACCTTGCAGGAACTCAATCTGTGGCAGTTCAGTGTTTTTTTTAGCAGTACACACTTATGGTCAGGAATCAGTAACAAACTAGGTTCTGGAGCAAAACATAAGAATGGATTTCACACAGGGGAGTAGCTGACCCCATTTCTGGGATAGCTATAGTGAGAAGATGACAAAGAAGAGCAGGGATGCGAGTAAATGGTGCTAAAGGGCCGAACGGAAGCTGCCGAGTGGCAGAAAGAGGCTCCATGTGTAATCCTTTACCTTGAACCTCCATTTCCAATCATCGGAACCTACTGGAAAGTCTGACAGACTTTTCCTGGGAGCACACCCCCACCGGGGTCAGGGTTCCACACAGTGATGTCATGGGGAAGCCCGAGGTGGGGCTGGTCTCTGGGAGGGGTTAAATGAACGGGTATAAATGATCCTTCAGCACTATTTACAGAGGGACTTTCCTAATGAGTCAGAATGCATCACAAAAGCACACCCCGACCCCTCCTAATTTATGCAGGAAAATAAGTTGCAGATAATAATCTACAGGACACCAGAACTCTTAGGAGTCAATCCAACACCCTCATTTACCAAATGAGGATGCTGGGTGACAAAGCAATTTTGCAGCAGAGCCAGAGGAAAGAATTTGGATGTCCTCCCTCCCCATCTGCAGAACTTAACCAGGGGCCAAGGCCAACATGTTAATTGTACTTGAAAGAAACCACTTGGCACTAGGAATCACACTCTGCTTTCTTTAACCCTTTTTGGCTGTATTTTTTCTCATTGTTAAAAATAAAGTTCTTATTTGCCTTTCTCACAAAACATTCCTCATAAAGACTAGTAATAAAAAGAAACCTCATTTTATTTCTTACTGGTATGTTCACAAATTTCACCTTCAGATATTTTTGAGAGCAACAGAAGCAGAACCCAATAGTCTAATTTTTCTTAAAGTTTAATACAATGTGGGCATTTTCCCAGTTTACAAGTCTAGCTGTTGCTTTCTACACTTGCATAATAAATATGGTGAACTGAAGTCCCATAATAATGAAGACTGATGGCTCAGAGAAACAAGGTCATGTATAGAAAATTTCTGGAAGTCACTGCTTCTAGGTCTTGTATTGCATGGACAATTAGCTCTTTGGGATGAAAAAAAAGATCTCATCACCAGTTCTCCCCTATGGACAAAAGAATCTGCAGCCGTATCCAACAATAACTTGAGTTAGAAAGCAGAGACCCTTGAGGAACACGGGAAGAGAAAAAAAATGTTTCATGCTTTAAGGAAAGCAGTCAGTGGAACAGTCTTGCTTTGCTCCAACAGCAAAAATTTCAGGAGAAATCACTCCTATCCAACACTTTTTAATGCACTGTAAAGGTCAAGCTTTAAGTGGGGTGTGTATGGGAAGGCTGCAAGGCTGATAAACAAAAACAAAACAAAGGCCAGGCCAATGAACCATTATGCTTGTAAACTTCTCCACATCTCATCCCGGAACCTGGTGTGGTGCCAAGCCACAGGCAGGAAGGAGCCATGTTAAGTATCAGGCTAATGAACTGACCATTACCTATCCTGCTGGATTCAAAAGGAAGAAGCTGTTATCTTACACTCAAAGAAGCTGCATCATGAAAGCCCTTTTAGAAAGAACTGTACTACTGTAACAGGAAGTGACTATAGAATGAATTAGCAAGTAATGACGAGTTGGTTCCACAACTATTCCTGTACAGTGAGGGGCAGATATGTGGAAGACCCAAAGATGCCAGGAAGAAAGCACACATAAATCCCAAGGAGTAACTATCTGCAAGTCCAACTGGAGCCCTGAAAGTAGCCAACTTCAGGATGCCCTTTATTCTCGCAAAGCCAGGGTCTAAGGAGTAGAATCTACCTTTTTATTTCCAGTACTGGAATGAACCTGGGGTGCCTCACCACTGAGCTACATCTCCAGACCATTTCCTTTTTCTTTTTGGTACTGGGGATTGAACCCAGGGACACTTTACTACTGAGACAAACCCCCAGCCCATTTTATTTTTTATTTTGAGGCAGGATATCACTAAGTAGCTTAGGTCCTCACTAAGGTGCTGAGGCTGAACTTGAATTTGTGATCCTACTGCCTTAACATCCCAAGTCGCTGAGATTACAGAGGTGTAACACTCCTAACTGTGGAATTTGCTGGGAGTCCCTCATGAGCTTTATATTCCCACTTATAAAACATGGCACTCTGATTACCCATAGGTGATGGGATTGAAAGCCAGATATAACTGTACATATAAGGGTATGCACCACAGGAGGGAAACCCAAAATTATAACCATCAGGAAGTTAGAACAAGTCCCAATCCTAACCATGTCCTATTCTCAGTGGCCAAATGACTCGTAGCTCTGACAATGGGGACTTTCTACAAGGTAGGAGAAAGAGATTAGTTGCACCCAAGATAGCAGGAGGTGCAGGGCACCACGAAACCTACTGTGGACAAGACTCCTATGGATTCTCAGTAGGAATTGCTATTTTTAATTTTTAGTTTGTGAAAAACATCTCATACAGAGACCAGGACGGAAGGCAAGGGAAGAGTCAGGAAAACTGTACACTACAAAGGGGAAAATGAAAACCACAATGCATTCTTTTTGACATTTAAGTTCTAGACCACATTTTTTTTTTTTTGTTTCCCACAGCCGCCCTACTCACAAATAGAAAATGGTTATTCTCCCTTTGAATTCAGAAGGCATTTCCTTGCATATTTGACAAGGACCTGAGGACTGAGTGCACATGCTCAAACACCACTGGACTCACTGCCCTCCCACCTGGTATGTTGTCCTGCTTTTTCCAGGACAGTCTCAGCCAGGACTCCCTTTGCTCAGACTCAAGACTCTTGACATTTGATTTGCTGGGATGTAGCATAAAAAAAAAAAAAAAAAAGGACTTTTAGAAAAGAATGATCCTACTGTTTCACAAGAGCTTCCAGCCTTGTCAGACTCCTTAAAGGGTTTATTTTATCATCACAGCAATAATCTCCTATTTCTTAAAAACTCAAATAACCTCTAAGGTATGCATGGCATGGCTGATGCACAGCCCATGCTGGGGACTGACAGATGAGAAAGGATGTGCTTTAGTTATTCCATCTATAAAATAAAAAGTCTTATTGCTTGATTCCAATTCTTTGTTACAAAGTTATATTAGAAGGATTAAAATCAATCTTTTATTTTTAGACAAAAACAATTTTGAAGATCACTGCAGGATGAGGATTTTTTTTTCTGAGATGATATGCTGGCAAAGTTATAGCAATAGGTCAAAGTGTATGTCTCTAGATCAGCCCCTGGAAACGATCCATGGGCAGTGCTGGGAAGCCTGAGAGATATGTTCAACCCTTAATTCTGTAGAGGACTGACCTGTAGGTAGGTAACTGGTCTGATTGAAGCACAACAGAGCCAAGATGAGATCTTGAATTGAGGACTCCTGCCCCCCACCCTGTAGCCCTAAGATCCTTGGGGCAGATATGCAGAATGTTATAGTTTTGTCAAACAAATTGAAGCTCTGGGAACCTTAGGGCAAAAACAGCACAGCATCCAGCTCACAATGATAGCACCAAGAGAGAAGTTGAACATTTGCCTCAAAACACACACACAATCCACTTTATTAAGAAATGTGTTTTCATTACCCACAAGGCAATTAGTTCTGGTTCTCCTATGAGAAGTTCAAATACATACATGCCCATGGCTGGTTAAATGAAAGCCACGTGGCTCAATCAGGGGGCACTATCATGTTAGAAAATGCTGGCCAACAATAATAAGATACAAGCTCACAATGTAACTTTGAAATTTCTAGTGGCCACACTAAAAAAGTAAAAGAGAAACAGGTAAAATTAGCTAAAAAAATTTTTCTGGTGGGGGGGCGCAGGGGCAGGTAGCAGGGATTGAACTCAAGAGCACTCGGCCACTGAGCCACATCATCCCCAGCCCTATTTTGTATTTTATTTAGAGACAAGGTCTCACTAAGTTGCTTAGCACCTCACTTTTGCTGAGGCTGGCTTTGAACTTGCAAACCTCCTGTCTCAGCCTCCTAAGCCGCTGGGATTATAGGCATGCACCATAAATCTAAATCTTATCTAACCTAATTTATCTAAAAATTTAATCACTGCAATATATGATCAATATAAAAGTTGAGATTGCATCACATTTGGGGCATATTCCAAAGGAAATAAATTCAGAATATAGAAGAAATATTGCACATCCAAGTTAATAGCAGCACTATTTATAATGCCTAAGATATGGAATTATTCAAGTTGTCTATCAATGCATGAATGAATAAAAAATAGTATTCCATTGTATGGATGTACATACACAAGTACTCTATGATTTTACTGATGTGTAGAATTTAAAAATACCCAACTCAGAAGTAGAGAGTAAAACACTGTTCATCAGAGGTTGGAAAAATACTGGTTAAAGGACACTAAATTTCACTTAAGCAAGAAGAAAAAGTTTTTGAGATGTATTGTACAGTATGGTGATTATATTAATAGAAACGAATTATGAATTTCAATACTACTAAAGGAAAAATCAAATGTTTTCACTACCAAAATGGATATGTGAGATGTAAACTAGCTTAATCAATCATATTAATCATTGTGCAAAGTATACATATACCCAAATCTCAAACTGTATCCCATCAATGTATATAATTACTATTTGTCAAGTAAAATTAAAACTCTCACAAGAAAAAGCTTCAGATGCATCTATGTCCTGCTCTTCCTTTCTCCATGTAGTTCCTATACATCATCTTCTGAGCTGGGAGTGACCAGCTACAAGAGCATTTTAGATGACTGCTCACCTGTCAATGAACTGATCGATGACAACGATGTCACCCGGCTGAATCTCCTCCCTCAAGGAGCCGCAAGCCGTTGTCACTATGACATGTGTACAGCCCTCCTCCTTCAGAGCCCAGATGTTCGCCTGGTAGTTGACTTTTGAAGGCATGATGGTGTGATGCCTCCCATGTCTAAGGGAAAGAGTATAAAGATGGTAGACAAGTGATCAGGGCATCTTAATACTGCTAGAAAAGCATACTAATTCAACGGCAGTGTTTACTAGTGTTTTCTACCAAAGCATTTTTATTGGCAGAGGAGGAATGAGAAGAGATCGGTCAATAATCATTCTACAACAAGCATAGACTAGCTCATCTTAAAATGCAGACCAGCTTTATGTTCCATATATTAATTTTCCTACAAGGGCAGGTAACAACTTGCTTAGAATCCACATTCCAGGAAGACATACTGCATCTGTCACATGGGGCATGAATGCCCCAGAGCAAGGCATGAGGTTTCATGTGCACCACTATTTTCTAACTGAAATGGAAGCCCAAGCAGTTGGGTCTTTCTATTCCTTTCTGCCTGATCCTCCAAAAAGCTAATGAAAACTTGTAAGGCACGAGAGTTCCCAGTTGTTTGGAGTGACAGTAACAGGTTTTGTCCAGTAACTGCTTACCTGACTGACAACCACTGGATGGTCTGAACTGTGACCCACCAGAATTCATGTTGAAGACCCAACCTCCACTCCTAACTCAGAATGTGACTGTTTTTGGAGACAGTTCTTTATGAAGTAATTATGTTAAAATGAGGTCATTAGGGTGAGTCCTGATCTAATATGACTGGTACCCTTTCAAGAAGGGGAAATTTGGACATAGATATGTAGAGAGGGAAGTGGATATGAGGACACTGAGACAAGCCAAGCCAAGAGACAGGCCAGGAACATAACCTTCCCTCACAGCCCTCAGAAGGAGAGCTCTGCCAACACCTCAGTCTCAGAATTCAAGCCTCCAGAGCTGTGAGAAAATTCATTTTGTTATGCAAGGCAGCCATTCTATAGCACTGTTATGATAGTCTGAGTAAACCAATATAATCACAAATGCTTACTATCATACTTCAAATAAAACCTAGCACTTTACCATGGATTTCTACCTCGTGGGCCCCAGCTTAATGACACAACACCTCCTAACCTAGGTCTCATAGCTCTGCTGCATCCACGCTCACTTCTACTTAGGTTTCAAAACTCTTTAGGCCTAAACTCAAAGATCGCCACCTCTGAGTTTCCCTCTATGACCATCACATCTACATCACATCAGTTCCTCAAACCCATTTTTCTTCATAGTGCCTCTCAGCACCTTAAACTTATCTTCTTTTAGTGTCAGCTTTTTCAACTGGAATCAGCCTGGAGGGTGATGCTGTGTCTACCTTCCTCCCTGGCACTTAGAAATGGATACATAACAAGTAAATGGTTTGATCTGTTAGACAAAAACATATATTTGGTTAAAATTCTTTGATCACTTGAAATACACAACAGTGTGTGTGTGTGTGCGCGCGCGCGCGTGCACACACCCCCTCTACCTGGAGGGACTCCAGTGAGCAGCTGGTAAAGGGAATTCAATTTCTGAAATTATTTCTAAAAATTCACCTGTATCACAAAGCATACTTATAAGCCATATTTCATAAACAAAACTTAAAATTATCTTGGGCTATTTGAGTAACTAAGACATGTCATGCTCTATCACAGAAAGGCAGTGCCCAAAATCAAGTTTCCTTTCCATGTGATCATGCAGAAGGACTATCACACAAAACTTACAAAACTTAGTTTGTTTGATGATGATTAGAAATTTAGGCTTCGTTTTTGTTTTGCCTACATATTTGCTTATATTTTTTGGTGAGAACACACACTTAAATTCTATTTTACATAAGTATAAGGTTGAATTTCTATGTGTTTAACATTAATAGACATAGACATATCTAGAAAAAAAGAGTAGAAATAAATATATCCAAATATTAAGGAAAAAGTTGGGGCTTTTGAGTAAAATTTTGGGTTTGAAGCTCTGCCACTTACTAGCCCTGTGACCTTATCAGTCACTCTACTCTCAGTTCAGTTTCTTTTCACTTGTAAAATGGATAATGAAATACCTACGCTAGAGGATTATTATTAAATACCTCTTGTAATTATCATATTTATACTTAAAAAGTATCTTTAATGTCTTTCCTGATGAACAACAGAAGTATTAAAAGCATCAAAATAACTGCAGACACATGTAGCACACTGGGGCTTCTATCCTGAGTTCACAGATGACCTATCAGAAGATGGGGACCATTGATACCCAGAAAGTACATATATCTTTCTGAAAGTGTTCTCTAAAACTCTTGATTAGCTACTTCAAAAGAAATTTTTAAAACCAAAAGCAATTCAGAACCAATGCATTAAAGGGTCAATCATTTCACAGTCTGACAGTTTAGTTCAGGAACATTAAAGCCTCAGCATTGGGCTACCTTACCAACGGTCTCCCCATAGACCTTGGAAAAAATTAATCAATTCTCTAGCAATCTCTAGCCAAGACTTGGGTTGTCAATACAAAAGCTATTTTTTTTTCTTTAATTTAAAAAGCAAGCCAGTAGGGCTGGGGATGTGGCTCAAGCGGTAGCACACTAGCCTGGCATGAGTGGAGCAGGGAATACACCTTATATGACCCAAGCAGAGGACCCTGTGAAACTGTGCCAGACTTCAGACCACAGAAACTAGGAAATAGTGTGCTGCTGAATCCGTGGTAATCTGGAACATGGCCATGGAAAACTAGGCAATGGAAAACTAAATGTGTAGTCTAATGTCTAACTATGTGATAAAAACAATGTTGCCTTCTTTACACCAGGGAGCGGCACCAGCCTCAACCAGGGAACAAAGTCTAGACACTACAGTCAATTCACTTGATAGGCCCCAAGGCCCCAAGCCCCTTTCCACAAACATAAAACAACTACTATATAAGAAGTCACTAATGGAACACTGTTCTTTATGTTAATTAGGAAAAAACAAAATTTCTTCTTGCAGTTAGAACTGAAAACAGAGCTTCAATTTTATTCACCTGATTTTCTTTTCTAACCTCCTGGGATGGAGTGGAACATGAGCTCTTTGATATCCTACATATGCAAAGCTTACTTCAATTAATTAATTAACTAATTAATTAAAGGTGGCTAAGATGTTCTGACTCCAACACATAAAAGCTCATGCCTTCATCATTATTCTTTCCAGAATTTAAGCTGAATTTCAATTTAGTGATAATATTCAAAAAGCTTAAAATACTTACCTTGCAAGGAGGACACAATCAACATTTTTTATCTTCCCCAAAATTAAGGCATCAGATGGCTGTGTGCAATGAAAAACAGTTACACCTCAGTGATTTTTAAGACACATAAGCAAACAATTTAAAAAGCTGCCACTGAAAATTGTTAACCTATAATAGATTCATGAAACTTGCAGTCTGAAAATATAGCTTAGAAAAGAGTCTAGATTTGATTAACATAATCAAAGAACTTTAACTGAGTGCAAACTCAGGTTCTGAAGGTTGCTGGGGGCCTATATAGGTATCACTTAGTAAGGTCATTTGTATCAAGCACTCAGTGGACTCTGATAGCAGACTCAACAAACTTAGATGTGTCAAGGGTATATGGCAGGCTCAAGAATAGGTGTGAGTGAAAGGCAGAGAGGTAATGAGACCAAAGCATGAAGGACTCAGCAATAGTGCTGTCTGCTTATGTTAACCAGGTCTCAGATGGCCATGGGGATGATGCAGGGAAAGTCCCTGTTCACTGAGGGGTTGCCAAAGCATGAGGTTAGGAGGAAGGCCAAGATGACATAGGGCCTGGAAGTCATGAGGTCAATCCAAAAACTGAGCTAAAAAGGAGGATTTAGTTAGAAAGGACAGATGCAGAGATCTTCAGAGGATCAGAGGAACTAGTGTTTGGAAGTAGCAATAGGGAGTAAGTAGAAAGCAGACACCCCACCCTGGACTAGGCCGGTGACACAGGAGCCTGGGGAAAAAGCAGTGTGTCCTGGAAAATGAAGAGCACATCACTCCCAGTGCTATGAATACCCACACTGTGTGATCTCCAAGACAATCCTCCTCTGGCTCTGGGCTCACTCAAAAAAAAAAAAAAAATAATAATAATAAATAAATAAATAAAAAATGCTACTTTGTAATAGTACTTCATCCTATTAGTCATCAGCCTGTACCCTGAATTAGTGTGCTGTGACATATAGTCACTGAATTAGAAGCTTATTTGAATGCAGACTTGAAAAGCAGAGTTGTTATGTCTAAAATGAGTGTCTGCCTTCTAGCAACATGAATTGAGAAGTTACTTGTGCGTATTCAAAAGCTGTGTTTTCAAAACAGGGAGCTCTGAAGCATCCTTGCCCTGGGGGGATGAAACCCAATGACAAGACCCCAAGCCAAGACTTGGGTTGTCAATACAAAAGCAATTTTTTTCTTTTGATTCAAAAAGCAAGCCAGTAAGAAGTGTATAAAACTAACATATCTCGATTAAATAGATATTAACCTTGCCAAATGGAGTATCCACGTATTTTTCAGTTCTTCCTTCTAAAATTTCTGGATCATCCAGGCCTGTTCCACCAATTATTCCAATCTAAGGGAAGAAAAAAGATCATCACACTAGGTCTTTTTTTTTCATTCGAAACACTGAAAAACATTCAGAAACATTTGAAGGTCTTCTATTGTTTAGAAATAACCAAAATGTAATTTTTAAAAATTATATCACATTTATTTCTGACTGAATTACAAATAAATAGAGAGGTACTTTTAGATATCTAATTAAGTAACTGACATCATTAGGAAAATTTCTCTGGGCTAACATCTGAAAGGAAAAAGTATGTAAACAGCCAGAAACCAGACATGACACCAATAGAAAGATCATAGTGACCGGAACTATTTTTACCCCCAACGAAAGGTTTAACTCTATTGAACAAAGTAGCTTCTGGAACAAAAATTCAAAGTTTAGAATTACTTGAATATCTAAAGTAAGCAATTTTCAGATCAGGTTATATAAGTTGATTTATATCAATTTGGAGGAAAATGGCTCTTTCTCTGGCCCTCAATTTCCTGGTGGGGGAGTCAACAAATTGAAAATAAATAAATATGTAAAATAGGGGCATTTAGTGAGACCTTGCTGAAAATTCTGTTGGCTTAGTACATACATTTCCTTAAGTGGCTAAGTCAGTTGATGGAGCCACCTTGTGGTACATTACTGAAATCACAGGTTTTATTGTTTCATACTAACTAAAAAACATAAAACTAATAAACATTAGTTTTAAATCAAATCAAAAGCAGCACTCCCTTTAGTCAATACATTAAAATCATCTAGTTGAACAGAATTTTTTTTAAAAAAAGAAATCACACTGCTTTTTGCAAATGGGAACCTTTCTTTGGTCTGGCCTCTCTATTTTATCCTTCATTTTATGTATCCTCTTAAGCACCACGAGTCATAAAGAGGTTAATAAACTGTCCAGCCAATGTCCTCATCTTGGTCACAGAAATAAATTGCTGACTCTAAAAATTACTCTCAGCCTACTCTTTGGAGATTCAGGTACTCAAAGAAACTTTTGCATTTTTTACTTATGACCACTTTGACTTGATTGTTTTTAGATATTCCCTGGGCTGTGGCCCAGGTGATTTAACAGTGGATTCTGGATTTAACAGTGGACCCTCAGGCATGTACATACAAAACAAATCTAATTTGGTTTTGGAACCACCGTTCAGTTTTCATGCTAGTCCAGCATGGAAGCAGTGATTACAAAATGCTAGTGGGGAATGGTGATGCACATCTATGGTTCAGGAGACTGAGGCAGGAAGACCGCAAGTTCAAAGCCAGCCTCAGCTTGAGTGAGACCCTGTCTTGGGGGAAAAATTGGAGAGGGGGCTGGCTTTGTGGCTCAGTGGTCGAGTACCTCTGGGTTAAATCCCCAGTACCAAAAACAACAACAAAAAATAAAACAAACAAACAAAGAACACTAGGCAGTCCTGAAATTCTGAATTCCAAACTTCAGTTTATACCATCTGGGCTGCATGATGGCCCTGCACTAGGTAACTGGTAACTCAGTCCTCAGCAAAGCATATACAGTATTTGACTAGAAAGCAAGTGGCCAGTGCTTGCCAGAAGGGCAGGATGGAGTCTCTGGCAATGAAAAGATCTGCAGGCAAGCCTACCCAGCCATCCAACTAGTTCCAGTTGTTTATGGAAACCCTCCTTGCAAGGGATAAAGCAACAAGTGTAGTGACTGAGTTCTGTATTGCCATTGAAGGTAACTGGACCTCCAAGATGGAGGCTGGCAGTGCCAAAATGTGGTCAATGTCGCCACCTTCTGGTCCTATGGCAAAGTACAGTTGAGATAAAGTCTCCAAGCACTAATGGCCCAATTCTATTTACACCCTGGTAAGCCTCTAAATTCAACAATCAATTCAGTACTTGCTTTGATAATGAAATGACTGTTTTGAGTATTTACATGCCAGATGTATTGTGTAAAGTGTTTCAGAGGCCGAATCTGTTATTTAATCATTACATCTATCCTATGAGATAGGCCCTATACTATTATACCCATTTTACAAATAAGGAAAGACAAGCACAAAAATAAAGAAATTTGTATAAGAGCAATTCATAGGGAGCAAACCTGGGATAGAGACCCAGGTGTCTAAAGCTTAATCATCATGATATGCTATGTCTTAATATCCCTTGTAGTCTTTCCTGATATCATGCTCTATTTAAAAAATTTTGTTGTTTCCATGTTATGCAGAAACATGCTCAGCAGGGTCAAGAACTTTCTTGACCAAGGTCACAGAGCAAGCATAGAAATAGTACCATTGGATATCTGAGTGACCACCTTAAAGGAGAAGAGGACTGATCACGGATAACTTCATCCATCCTCAGGAAACAATAAGACCCGTGGGCTGGATCATCAGTCATGAGTCCAGTTAATTCTAGCCTGTCCATAAAATGGGCTTAAGGCCTGAGATGGAATTTCTGGGCCAATTCTCCCCATCATTACACAAAATAAGGGACTAAAATGGGAACTCCCTGGTCAATCAAGGTCACTAAAAGATTTTGTCAGTTCCTTCCCCATTTTCCCACTGACAGACCACTGAAACAGTCTTCTCAAAAACAGAAAAACAGGTTTCACTTCTTCTCTGACAGGATGGAAGCATCCTGTCCAAGTGGTGGCTTACCTGGCCAGAATGGTTAGATCCAGCAAGGATGAAAGGGTGCCTCCAAATCCCTACCCTATGCATTTTCCTTGGTACCTGGCTCCAGGAGACTTCACCTACCCAGTCTGGTCTCAGGACCTATCACATTGAGATCTGAACACCCTGCCTCAAGAACCCAGTGCTCTATGAGGGCATTCTTAAAACATTACATCTCTCAGTAGCTGAGATCATCCCATGCCAAGGTGATGGACTGCTTTTGAGTGCTTCAACTCTCAAGGAGGTTAAGAGTCAGAGCTAAAGCTGGCACAGTCTTTGAGTATTTCAGTCCGTCACCTCTGGTTGCTGCTTACAAGTTCAGTAAGCTCAGCAGATAGAAGCCCTCATTATTTGGCCAACTTGGCTTTGAAGTCTTTGAGGACTTTGCAAAATCCCAGATGTCCTATATGGGAAAAGAGCAGCCAAATGACTCAGGCTGCCTATTTAAAACCTGCAATATGGTTCAAATGTCCTTTGTGAGGAATGATTATGTGCTGAACTGTGCTCCACTCCCCCAGATTCGTGATGAAGTTCTAACCAGCAGTACTTCAGAATATGACTGTATTTGGAAATGGGGTCTTCAATGAGGTTAAGAAAGGTTAAATGAGGTCAATGGGATGGGCCCCAATCCAATAAATTGGGAGTCCTAAGAAAAGTGATTCAGACACTTATATAGAAGAAAGACTGTGAAAACATGTGGAAAACACGGCTAGGTATAAGCCAAGAAAAGGGAAACTGACCCTGATCACACCCTGATCTTGGACTCCACAACTGTAAGGTAATATGCTTCCATTTCTTAAGCCACCTGTTAGTGTGCTTTATTACAGCAGCCCTGGTGAACTACTACAGGGATGTTACATTCCAGTCAGAGAAGTCTGATGCCCACAGTTCAGAACACTCATGGCTTTGATCATCCTCTCCTTGCAATGCCAAGATACGAGTCCAGTGAGGAATCACTCTCTGGAAGACACTTCACTCCTGAAATGGTCAAGTAATTTTTGAGGGTTTTCCTCAAAGCTCATTGTGTTCTTTAGAGCTCTCCTTCACAGGATCTACCTGGCTTTCTCCTGAGTCAGCAGAGAGAATACTTAAATCCCCTGGGGAACTTTCAATGCCAAAGCTCAGGTCCCAGATTGCAGAGATTCTGATTAATGGGAGACACAGAATTTGTTTTACTTAAAGCTCTTCAAGTGGTTCTAACGTGCATCCACAACTAAGCATGCTGCTTTAGGGCTTAAACCACAAATTTATAAAATGTGGCCTAGCTGAGTATGGTAGGCTGAATAATGGTCCCTATATTCATCCGTTTTTTTGTAGCTGTGATGGTATACATGTGAAAATAATTTAAGAGGAAAAGTTTATTACAGCTCATGGTTTTAATCCACAGTCACTTGGCTCTGTCTCTTTTGAGTCTGTGGTGAGGCAGAATATCATGGCTGGGAGCACCTGGTGGAGAAGATGGTGGAAGAAATCTGTTTACCTCATGGCTACCAGGAAGCCAAAAGGAGAGTGAAGGTCTTGGGTCCCAAAATCCCCTTCAATGACCTAATTTCCTTCTACTAGGCCCACCTCCTACAGGTTCTACCACCTTCCAATAATACCACAGGCTGGTGCCCAAGCCTTTAAAATATGGGTCTTTGGGGAACATTTAAGATCCAGATCTTAATATAAATAAATCCTATTTATATTCAAATTCTCAGAATCTATGCATGTTAAATGATTAAATTAAGAACCATGAGATGGGGAGATTATCTTGGATTATTTGAATGGGACCTAAATGTAATCAGGAAAAAGAGCCTCATAAAAGTTAGGCTGAGTCAAATGATGGTGGTGGGATCACAGGAGCAGAGGGAGAGAAAAGGGGATGTGATTCTGGTGCTCTTAAGCCAAGCCAGGCTGATGTCTTCAGAAGCTGGGAAAAGCCAGCAACTGGACTGTCCTTTAGATCCTCCAAGAAGAGCCAACAAATGCTTGATTTTAGCCTCGTTAGACTCATTTTGGATTTCCGGCATCCATAAGAAAGCAACACAGAATAAGACTTGCCATAAGAGTCTATTAGAATGCAGTTGTCCACCCTTTCCAAAGCTCCAGGGTCAGTGGGCATTTAACATCCTGGGTTTGTTAAAGTCCTATATTTCTGGTTCAGCAGGATTGGGGCAGGGCCCAAGAATTTGCATTTGTAACATCACCAAGTAAGGCAGATGCTTAGGAAGCTTTGAGAACCACTGGTTTAGATGCCTCTGAGGTGCAGACTAGAATACGGGGATTACAATCACAGTTAAGGATCCAGGGTCCACTGCATGCAAATATTTATGCTATGTTTCTTCATCTTCCTTATCTATGAGGGTCAGATTTCTACTTAATCTATAGAAGTATCATGAGAGTCAAATGAAA